CATGAGTGGGGTGGCGTCATGAGTTGCCGCAAAAAATCCATGATAATAGGGCATGACAAGAAGTATCTTCTGCTTCCTTTGAGATATTATGGTCAGCGGGGCACAACGCAAAGCCATACAGAACCTGCAAGGTTACGACACCTGTCATTAAACACTAAGGGTGACAGCTTATGAGGAATGAAAAACAAAAGCAGGAAGGTTTATTAAAATCTAAAACAAATTTACGTATTATTACCATGAATCTAATGAACAGCAAAAAAACCAGAAAAGAAACTATTCAATAGACGAATCAAACAAAAAGGAGACTAACAGCTCATAAAGTGGATGAAAAATGAATGACTAAAGCTTTAAACTACGTCATACAGAAAATATACTAAAGTCTATTCTCCAAAACCATTATAATTTTGTCTGTGGTTTAAGCATAAATGGAAGATTTGTATCCTCTAGCGGCATACTGGAAAATTCTTTTGATTTTGTGAGATTCCCTTGGTGGGAATGATGTTGCATGCAACGTTTGACGCTGTCCAGCCAGCGCTACCTGATTCATCTTACGGTCTCAATCCGAGAGCGAAATCTTGTTGTACCAAGTTTTCTGAACAACCGCCACAATTCTCATGACGTGACCGAAATATTAATAGCGTAATATTCACATGTGCACTTTTTCAGAAGCAAACGTCAAGCATTAAACTGCCTTAAGAGCCAACCACCGCTGGAAATGTAGCCCATAATAAAAAAGACTACGTGCTTTTATTCAAAAAGCAAACTGCGTATGACAGCAAAATAAAGTTCAAGTTGGTGCTCAAACTACCGGTACAACTCAGGGTGCAAAATCTACCGTATTTCGTACAGCAAGACATATTTTCCTGCCCTCAGCGTTCCTTCCTATTCGAGACGAGGACGCAGAAGGTGAATAATGGCTGATATTTACGAGCGTATATAACCATATAAATATTCCATTATAACAAGTATACCTGCAAATTCGCAAAAATGATTGGCGATGTCAAACGCCTGGTAGTTCAAGCCGGCGAACTCCACGTCAATCAAATGCACCGCATCTACGGGGAAAAAGATTAACGAAATATATAGGCTCATCTCATTGATTAGTTACGGTACTTTAAATGAAATTCAGACAATTAAATTTTAATTTAATTACCATAAATGGCTACCGTCAAGTGCAACAATGAAAAGGAGTGTAAATAATCTTTTAAATAATCACGATGACGAAAATGATCAGATGAATACTGACGAAAATGCTGCCGTTGGTTAAGTTTATTAGCTTGTGCAACGACTGTTGCTATCAGCGAGAGTGCATAACAACAGCAACATATACAACTAAACAGCAACATAACAACAACAACATATACAACTTAACTGGTATCATCAACTAAGGTCAACAAAAACTTGAACAACAGTGCCTAACATAAGATTTTCTGATTCAGAGTTGTAACTGGTTTGAAATAACAGTCTCTCAGAGCAGAACTACTTCAAATGACGAACGACTCTTAGCCACTGTAACAATGTTTGCCCTGCCTCAAAGGTGATTAACAACGGTACGATGACTACATTGCGGATAGTGCTCTTCTTCGATTGCTAAGAAGACAAACAGCACGATGCTTTGCCACTGAAAAACGAAGGACAATACCGCCCTCATTTCATCGCTTCAATTCAGAGTCAGTCTATTCTCATTTAAAATAAATGAACCGTGGATATAAGAAAGCCCCACCAGTATTAAGCTCACTGCCTTCGAAAGTGTTTGAAGTACTTGCTGAAGTTATATATGTTCTCTAAAGCATATTCTCAGGGTAATGAAGGATTTGGTTTTAAACTAAAGTTAACTGATGCAAAAAATTACAAGAAAATACATTACGGATGATTAATCTTACTACTACCTTTCTATCATTGGATTGGCTGGTCGAAAAATGCAATGTAAATTAACACTGCGGCGAAATTGCAGTAATGTATGTTGGATGGGAATCATAACATCAGATTATAGCGCAACACTGCTTGCCACCTTAACTTTGCAGTCTTCAGAAACTATCTAAGCAGATGAAGCCTCCGTGGTATTTTAGCATCTGTAGTGCACGAGAGGCATACACGTACCACCGAGTTCAACAGAACAAGAACATTCTCTTTCACAAAAAAAATCACCACTATCCTTTGGCAAATACACGTTTAATGAAACAAGTATAACCCTGATGGTCTGAGACAGTAGGTTGAGTAATCTAAACAATTTAATACGGAACCAGGAAATGCACAGATATTACATTTACGGAGCAAGGATCGAACAACCTTGCAACTCAAGGGCACAAGACTCCTACAGTGGGGTCACACTTGGAACAGTTAGCTGCTAGCTTGAACAGAAGCATGATGAGTTAATCATGGCCTCGCTGAGATGACGTGATATGGAAAAAATAAAAGCAACATATACTGTACCAAAAATTAACTAAAAAACTGGCCCAAGTGGAAAACGAAAATAATTGAAGAGATTCATGCAATGCACAATCTGGAAAAGGCGACATCGCAGAAGTAATCATAAAAGTTTTCTCTGGCTCGCTAATTACACCATGTGCTCACTCCACTCTGATCGCTGCCTATTTCTTTCTCTGGTAGACATACGCATTTCTTCAAAATCCGTCAGTCTTTCGTTACAACAACATCAGTAGAATTAAATGGCAAAATCCGACTATGGGTACCATACAGTGAATACGCAAAACTACAAAAAGCGCTTCTGTAACAGGAAATCATTAAATCTCAATCTGGGTGCCTTTGATCTCAAAGCGGTGACGAAGCACTGAAAGGCAACAGCGTATGCAAACAGCAACAAAACGCCGAGATGAACATTGAAGATGTCATTCAGCAACAGACCTTACTGCGCAAAAAATCATTCAGTGCTAACTGTTATAATCCTCTTTTATAAGCTTCTCGAGATCAGATCAAATTACTTTCTTGCCCGTTGTAAATCATGTTGTACATATTGAGGTCATTGTGGCAGAATACAATTTCAGACTTCAGCCGCAAACACAGTTGACTGCAAAACGAGTGTTCCTCAGCAAGTTGCGCCTTGCTTAAAGGAAATTTTAACTTCCTAAAATGAAGTACATTAAATAGTGAAAAACGTGAAGCACATTCATGTGTAACTGTAGAAAACTAAGAGAAACAGATGTCGACTTCAACAGCGGAGGGCCTATGACCTGAAGATGCTATATAACAGTGCTGAATACGACGAAATTTTGCTACTGAGCTCATCATCCTGAGCAGTTTGCATAAGCAGAACGTCTTTTGTCTGTGATGTACGCAGCACTTCAAAACTTTTGCTACAAGGCGCTGGTTACCGCATTGCAGAGTCACATTAAGTATTCCTCCCTGAAAGCAGATCTGACCACATCTTGTTTCTCCATGTTGCATGCTAGTCTACTGATCTACATCTACCGCGTTTCGCCTTCCACTCGAAAAGCTCAGAGTAAACGATGTACCATCAACCAGTTTCTCCAGCAGAGCCAAACTCCTTCTCTCAGTCTCCGCATGTACCGAAGTCTCCCGTACCTGGAAGAAAATGTGCATTCCTTACTCTGATTTTTTCATTTCACTCTCATCATGCGAGGAAGTCAATGATGCCCTATGCCTGCTACTTCATAGCAAAAACTGTATCGATTTCAATAATACAGATCTGGCAGAGGCACGGTACAGGCGAATTAGCATGGGAAGAGTCCCTTATTGTCTCAGCTCAAACACTGGGCTTCTAGATTAAATCGACCCTAAGGCTGATCCTCCTATTTAACTGTGGCTGGATAATGCTATTGTTGGAGATGATAAAGTCGAGATACTTAAATTGATCAACCTTTTGAAGCGCTTCACCTCCATCTTTCA